TTTCTGAGCTCTGGAAGTGTGTGGGGCGACAGGGGAAGGAGGGACTGTAGTTTCTTCTCCTAGTACCCCATCATCCAGCATGAGGTGAACTTGGGGGGACTTTGCATGTGCCAGGTGGGCCTTTAGCATCTGAATTCTGTTAACTGGCACCTGAATCCTAGTGTTCCTCTCCCTGGGCTCTGAGACTTCGAGAGCTACTCCAAATGAAATCAGGCATCAATTCGGTGCTTATATAATTTGTCTAGCAAGATAACAAGAGCCACTTTTATGGGGCTCTTGCCCTGTGATACTTTCAATCCTTACAGCAGTCTTACATGGTGCATTAATGTCACTTCCATTGAATAGACGTCCATATTGAGACAGGGTGATGTTTCAGGATATACTGCTATTGTTTTATGAGTAACCTGGCTTCTCTATATAGTTTATATATGAAGATTATCTAAGTGGGCTGCATCTAAATCCCTTAGAGTAAGTGCACATGAGTGTTAAAGAAAGACACAACCTTTATCCTTTCACAGCTTCATCTCCCCCTTGACACACACAAGGACCAGTGGGATTCTGCTTCTGCTTTTGAAGACTGAGCAGCTTCAAAGTAGAAGTTAAGAAGCTAAATGAGAGCACAGAATTTCTGAGACCCATCTACCTCTCAGTCCTCAGTCTGTCCCCAGGAAACCCTTCCGCCCAGCCTGGATGTCTCTGGCTCACAGCACTGCAGGGTTCCTGCAATTAGAGATTGGGCTGAAAAAGTGTCTTCATGCTAAAATTCAACAGAGGAAACCCTGGAAGAAGTAAGAGATTCTTGGCCATCCCCCTTAGGCACCGCCAGGCCTTCAGTTGAGCAGGAAGAGGCTGCTGTGGGAACTGGGGACACTTGCATCCCTCAGACCTGTGTGGTGCCACCGGAGTCACCAACACTGGAGGCCACAGAGGGCCCGAGGTGTGCTTACTTCAGGTTAAGACGTGCTTTCAGTATTAAAACCTTATTGGCAATGGAGAAAAAGCCCCACTCACAATTGTTTGCATTAATGTCGAAATGATAACAGTTTGGATATACTGAGTTTAATAAAATGTTATTAAAATTTCCATGTCTTACATTTTTAGTATAATTACTAGAAAATGCAGAATTTCATATGTGGGCTGTATTTCATTTCTATTGGAGTGTTGGTTTTAGATGAATCCTCCGCCTGACTTTCTTCTTGCTCAGTGATCTCCATCCTATTTCTCCTGTTTCCTGTCTCTTCATTTTCATTGTCTCTTGACTGGCCTTTCTCTGTCCGTTTCATTTATGTAACAACTATTCTGAGGTTTTAGTTACTGTGCTAGTATTAGAAACATGAAAAAAAGCCTCTCTCATCCTAAAACAATACAAGAAAGCAAACAAACCCATCATGGTCTCAGGCTGCACCTCCTCTCTGCCATTTGCCTTCTTCCCTTTATTATGCTTTAGTCCTTGGGAGTGGAGTTTCAGCTCTTACCCCCATTTATTTTCCCAGCCTCCTTCCTCAAACCCCAACAATCTGGCTTTTACCACTCCATGAAAAACTGGTTTCCTTATAGGCCACCAGTTTCCTTCTAGCTTTCAAATGCTGCGATTTCAGTCTTTGTGGCGTTGACACTCTCCTTAGAACCCCCTCGTCCTCCCCCTACCTGTGGGGAGATTAACCTCACCAGTCAGTATTTTCTGGGTCTACTTGGTGCTCCCTGTGCTTCAGCGGTCGGCTTCTGTTTGGTCTCTTTTATAGGGTTGTCACCATCTTCACACATTCTATTACGCTTCTGGGTTTTTTTCTTGCTTCTCATATCTTCTTCCTTCGTAGCATCACCGTAGCTTCTGGTTAGAATGTTCTTTCACATTTCTTTTCTTCTAATCAGTCCTTTAGGGGTCACCTCAAGTGTAAGTTTCGCCAACAAGTATCTTTTGTTTCCTTCAGCCAGCCTTCTGCCTACAAATTCTTAATTACCTTACCTGAAACTGAGATGGTGGTGAGACTTCTCAAACTTAATTCAAAGTATCCTGAGGTCTTACTTGAAATTATGAAATTGGACAGTGCTTTGGGAAATGTAGAGCACTTCTAACTATTATGAAGACATCAGATGCTGGGAGCATTGTTAGGACAAGTTGTGCTTGTAATAAAGTGCCACTGGTCGCAGATTGAATGCTTTCTTATATGAATATTTGGCTTTCACCTCCAAAAGTTCAGGTTCCTGGAGGGGAAGAGCTATGGCACATTTTTTGGTAAATGAAAAAAAAAAGAATTTGAAGAAAAGGCTTTACCTTCCTTCCTCTTTGGTATACTCTGCTCTGGCTTCATGCTAGACATGGCATAGGAGACGCTTCCTGTGTTTTTGCAGGGTTCAGTTAGACTAGCACTTTCACCCATTTGTAGATCCTTTGACTTTTCCACAAAAATCAGTGTTATGTGTTCATTTATTTTTTTGGCTTTTCATTCCATGTCTCTCCTTGTGAAAGTGCAGGCTTCATGAGGGTAGAGCTTTGCTCTTTGTGTCCTTAATGCCTTGCAGGAGGGAGGTGTTTGGGAGTGAAGTAACTCACTGCTGGTGGGAAAATCAGTTTCAGCTTTTCTCTGCAGCTGGAGGATGGAAGGGTGGCTCTTGTCAGGGTCATGGGCTCTGTGGTAGATGAGCTCCTCAGAGCCAACAGGACCCCTCTGCCTCTGGGTGGGGGCTGGGCTGTACGGACCTGAGGGCTCTCCCAGCTCACTCTCCAGCAGCTGAGAAGGGGACACCATGGGAGTGCAGAAACTGGGTCTTACTTGCTGTCATTAGAGGAGAATGCAGTCACAGGAGAATATTTATTGCTAAACTTGGTTGAGTACATCATATATGTCAGACACTGTTTTTATTACTCTATTTGTACTAATTCATTTAGTTTTCTCTAAAATCCTCAGAGGCAGGTGTTAATTCCTCCATGACATGTGGGATGATGGAGGCACAAGGAGTTAAACTGTCAAAGATCATAGAGTGGATTCATAGGAGAGACGTAGGAGCTCATCTGCTATGCTAACCTATTTCTGTGCTTAAATAGAGGTCGTATAAGTTTGTGTATACACATACGGGTTTCACTCTTTTCTAGAGCAGAATAATTCTTAGGTATTCTTCCATTGCAGTTTTACGCTAGAAAGGTTCAGGCCTGTTTCTTTCAGGAAGATAGTTCAGTTATGTCCAGCCTGCACTTTCTGTTTGACTGCGATGTGTTAGGAGTTAATTATTTATAGTTCTACTTGAAGTGGATGTGGTACCTGACTCACTGATCTTATAAAAAAATAATGGTGTGGTGAAATCCATTAAAATGAAAATAGATTAGACGCTGACCTATATTTTAGGCTTTATAGTTGGGAGGTTATTGGACAGTTGTGGATGTCTTTTGATGGTCACAGTTATCATAGACCACATAAAAAAATAGAAGTGTTCACCTTATGAAGAAGGATATGGGACTTAATCCCATTGCATGGGTAAATAGGCTTGTCTGTCCATTTTTATTTCTATCATTTCCATGTAGCATATCTTGCTTGGTACTCCAAGTCATTTCAATTCAAGAGAGAGTGCTTTAAGTATGAAAACAACCTTATGGCAGAAATTACTTGAATAAATATATTTGCATACAATAATCCTGCCATCAGTAGAAATAGTTCTCTTTACCCAAAGTATGAAATAGATGGGGAAATGGGCAAATCAGAGACCTGCTCTCCCTTCCCTTGTGTCCAGGGTTGTTATTTATATTCTAAATATTACATCCGAGTCATTTAGGTAGTTTATTTTTTAAATGGAAGCCCATACCATCGTCCTACAACCTCAGTAATGTCTGGCTCTAAGTCAAACTCAGTATACCAAAGACTTCCCCGGGTACTAATGGTACAGAATAAGTGTTAGTCTACACATGTGTTACTGGATTGTGTTGTTCTGAAAGGGGAAGTGTAGAAGAAAACCAGAGTCAGTCTGTGGAAGCCACTAGGATCTAGGTGAGGAGGTGTGAACCCATGAGCAAATCGGTCTGGTGCTGGGAGGCAGAACCTTGAAGTGCAGAGGTCTTGGAAATCTGAGTCTCCGGTAGCAACTGGCAGTGAGGTCGGCCCGGCCCACGAGCAGCAGGAGGCTGTGTCAGGTCCCAACAGGAAGACGTCTCTGTTCCTTTGGATGGAGGCCAGTGGAACCCAAAGGAAACCATGACCTCGGTGGTGGAAAGGGTAACGGACAGCCAGGAAAGTGGGATGGTGAGATGCAGGCTCAGAAAAGAGATTCCAGGTACGTGATGCCATCAGTGTCTAGGAGAAGATGCCCACTATGCCTTCATCTGTCCACCTGACAGATGTTTATCCTGCTGCGTTCTGGCACTGCTGTGGACCCTGGGGGTGAAGTAGCAAACAGAAAAAGTGCTGCTTTTGTGAAGCTTCCGTTCTTGCTAGGGAAGTAGCCATTAGCCAGGGAAGTGAGTAAATGTGTGGTACCTTGGATGGTAATGATCGCTACAGCAAGGCAGGAGGGATGGGGAGTCTGGAGTAGCAGAGTCCTAAATATGACACTCTTGGATTTAAGCGAGGAGATGACATTTGAGCAAGCTCTGAATGATGACTCCCGAGTTACCTTCTCATGCTCAGGGACCTGAGCAGTGAACTTGCACTCAGTGATACATTGCAACTGTTGGAGCATCTGTCCAAATTTTCTACCTTGCAGTTTTAAATTTTCATTGCAGTAGGAAATAAATAACATGAGTGGGTTGGAAAAGGAGACGAGGTTGCCATTCTACAGGAGGGTGGTTTGGGAAAGGGCAGGTGAAGTCCCTTCCTTCCCAGTTGCTGGGAGAAACCTGTGCCAAGGGAAATGGGGCCACAGGTAGGTGACAGCCTTTGCCACCAGGTGACCCAGTCCAGAGGATTATGACACAGTCAGGCTTTACTCTAGCTCCTCAGGGCTTTGTGTCGGGAAGCATAGACTGCTTCTTCAGTTGCAGCACTAAGGTTTGTGCTGTCTGTCTCTTGCAGCTGCAGGAAGCCAGCCCCGGGGAGGCAGGCGGCATGGCTAGCTCAGCCCGGGAGCATCTGCTGTTTGTGCGACGTCGGAACCCCCAGATGCGGTACACACTGAGCCCCGAGAACCTGCAGAGCCTGGCTGCTCAGGGCTCGCTGCCGGAGAACATGACCCTACAGCGTGCCAACAGTGACACGGACCTGGTGACTTCTGAGAGCCGCTCTAGCCTGACGGCCAGCATGTACGAGTACATGCTGGGTCAAGCCCAGAACCTCATCATCTTCTGGGACATCAAGGAGGAGGTGGACCCCAGCGACTGGATCGGACTCTATCATATCGGTGAGTCAGAGGTGCCAGACCTGCGTGTGGCCCGGGCGAAGATTCTGACCCTGTGCTAGTTTGTATTTTCTCTCAGGAGGAAAGTTCTGTGCACAAACAGACCCAGCAGATTCTGGGAATTTTCTTTCCTCCCTGGGAGGAGGAGAGTCAGTGTACCTTTGCTTCTAGGAATTTGGTGGCTGTATCTCCACCAAATTAATCATCAAAACCCGGAGATGGTACAGTGTTATCTTTTTAAAACTTCTGATTGATTGCCCCTGCTCAGCAGTCTCCTTTTGGAAAAGGTGATTAACATCTAGTAACACTTTTAAACTGACATAGATAACAGTTACAAAAATGTTTTGTTTTCTCTGAAAGTTGAATTTCATGAAGAACAATCTGCAGTTTAAGGGATCTTTTTGTTTAAAAATTCCTTGAATGTATCCCAGATCAATTAGGTGAAAAATGCATCGTCTTCCTAATTAATGGCTTAGAAATAGTGCTGCTTGCTTTAATAAAAGCAGTCCCAGCTCTGTTGAGCTAATTTGCATGTCTTTTATAGTTGAATGAGTGAAGAATGAAGCATTCCAGTAAGAAAAAGGTCTGCTTTATTTGAAAGCAAAAATCAGAAACTACCAAGTAACCAAAAAGAAAACCTAAATTCAACCTACTAATAAAATCTGACATGCCCCCAAATTGGAGTGTTTTTCTTTACATGCAGGAAAGTCTTTTCAAAATTGAACATCAGACATTTTATTAGAAGAGATGGTTATTTTCAAGTGAAATTATAAGACATGCATTTTTTTTTTAAAGAATGAATTGGTGGGGAGCAAAGACCTGTTTATGGCTTTACCTCTCAGGGCCCTGTAGACAGAAATTCTGCTCCTTAGAGGACATTTGGCAGGATCTGGAGACAGGATTTCCTTGCTACCGCTGGGTGGGAAACAAGAACCTTGAGTTGCTCAGCATCCTGCAGTGCCAGGGCCCCCCATGGCCCATGGTCAGCAGACCCACTGCCCAGAACTGCTGGGGAAACAGTACATTCTACTGGAATTTTGTTAAAATGCTAAACCCACTGGCAGTTGTGTTTCTCTGGGAATTTTGTGTAGAATAAAAAAAATAAAAAAGGTTCATATTTATTTAACTCCTAATGATTATGCTAGATAATAAGAAATCTAAAATGGCAAAGAAACTAGTGAATTATTATTTTTCTTTTTTCTCTTACGGCAGCACCACAAAAAGAGGGAAAATTCTTCTTTGTTCAGCATTGTCCCCAAATGTGTTTAAATATTTGTTCAAAGTGAAAAAGATACATTGTTTAAAAATTATTATCTGTATGATTATGATCACAAAAAGTTTTGTGAATGGGGGTTTATAAGTAACTCTTTTGGTTTTGATGTAATTTTACCCTTTTGGGCTTCCTAAAACTTTTCATTTTTCTTATATTTTTCCTTTTCTTAATATAAGACTACACACAGAAGATTTTATTTTGATAATGCTGTATTTTTACTTTGGGAGATAATCATTTTTGCTTTTTTTGTATAAGATAATTTGTTATATAAAAGAATAACGAAACCTGTAAGATGCTGTAATCACTTAAGGCATTGACCATATTACTACACATTTTTTCCACACCTTTTAAATGTTTTTTTCCTGGGCCGGGGATTTAGCTCAGTGGTTCCCATTGCCTTCCTCGTAAGCACAAGGTCGTGGGTTCAATCTCTGGTACCAAAAAAAAAAAAAAAAAAGACATAACAAAATTTTTTTTTCTCATTCACTTGTTATATTTCACTGTCTAATCATGAAGGACATAATTTGTCTTACCTTCAAGTTTCCAAAGCCATAAATTCTTAGTGTTCTTGTACTTTACTTTCTTGGGGAGGAAGTACAAGTCAGACTTCTAAGTCTCAGTTCAACCCAAGGATATATATAGGAAAGAAAAATTAGGAAGTAAATTTCTTGAATATTGTGAGCTCACCTTCAGTTTATTTCAAGAAGTTTCTGTATCTTTCTCACATAAACTATTACTGTATTTTTGTTCCCAGTATTGTATCCGCACCCCATCCTACTGTTTACTTTTAAGATTTTTCTGTTTATCTTAGTTCTCAGCAGTTTGACTGTGGTATACCTAGATGTGATTTCCTTTTTTATTTTTCTTTAGGACTCTCTGAGCTTTTTAAGTTAATGTTTTGGATGACTTTTAGAAAAATTTTTGTCATTGTTTCTGAAAATATTTTTTCTGTTTATGCTTTTACTCTGAGACTCCAGTTACACATATGTTAGATCATTACATGTTGTCCTATAAGATCTTGAAGCTCTGGTTCATTTTCTTTCAATATTCAAATTTTAGAATTTCTGTTAATCTTCAAGTTTCCTATTTTTTTCTGTCTTCATCTTTGTTCTGTTATTCTCATCCAGTGGATTTTCAAATTTAAGATATTTGACTTTTCATTTCTAGAATTTGCATTTTTTTCCTTTTTATAGTTTTTAGTTCTCTTAGGAGTTTCCCTATGTGTTAATTCATTCAGGTCCCAATTTTGTTCATTTCTTTGAATTGACTTAGATATATTGTAGCTACCTTAAAATATCTGGTTTCTAATTGCAACCCCTAGAGCATCTCAGGGTCAGTTTCTATTGATTGCTTCTTTCCTTGGTTCCTATTTTTATATCTTCTGTATTTCCACAATCTTTGATTGTCTACTGGACGCTGTGAATTCTGTCATAAACATTCTGAATTCTGTGGCATAATGTTGTTTATTTATCCCAGCAGGCGGATTTGTTTCCTTGACATTGTGTAGGTTTGATTTTACACTTTGCTAGCATGGATCTATAGAAAGCCCAGTGTAATTTCCCAGCATTCCTCACTTGGTGGAATTCAGCTTCCAGCTTGGTCTGTCCTATGTATTTTGTTAGGTCTTGGTTTTTGGCCTGGTTAAGGTAGGTTTAGAGTAGGCCTTACTGTAGGACACTCTGCTTATTCTTAAGAGGTCAAAAGGACAGTCATAAGGAATAAGCATTTCTTAGGATGTCTTAGCTGGATGCCCATGCTGATTGGGTCTGTTCTCCAGAGCTGTTTCACCTCTGGTAGCTGCTGGCCTCCCAGCTTTGTAGTAATTGCTTTCTTTACAGCCTCAGTAGCTTCTTCCTGAGCAGGTGCAGTACAAACACTGGCCAAAGGCTTACAGGGGATCCCCGTGTAGACTTCTTCACCTGTCTATAGTCCTTAACGTTCCAGTGTCCTGGCTTGGAGATTCTAGTCTCTTTAGTTGACTCAGACTGTGATCTCTGCTTCCACAGCTCAGTAGCTGCCATAGATTCCAGGTCCCTGAACTGCACCCAGGCTGAGATCTGGGTGCTCAAGGAGTCACCTCATGAATGTCTCTTTCTTGTGAGTTACATCTTACACTGGGTCTTATCCAGTGTCTGGAAATTGCTGCCTGTGTGTATTATAGTTGTGTACGTCAGGAACTGGTCTGGTGCTTCCTTATGACCCAAAGCAGAAGGTCCTTCCATGCTTTTGACTTACAGTGACAGAGTTAAGAGGCCTCACTTAGTTTTCTTATCTAGCAATTTCCAGAGGACTCTGAATAAAGTTGATGTTGGAGTCCCATATGTTTGTCAGTTCTTCTTTATTTTCTAATAGATTTAGATCCCTACTAGGAAAGATGGGTGAGGAGCCAGGAGCCTGGACTTCTTAAGGATCTGTGGCTAATACAGCAGAGACTTCCAAATCAAAACACTGTGTGAGGAACTGTGGGCATTGTTGCTGTGGGTCTTGGCAGAGTTTTCATGCTGAGTGGTGTTGGAAGGTGCAGTTCCCAGGTCTAGAGCACTAAGTATGGCTTGTTTCTGTAGTGGTAGGGCCATGCTGTGTTGAAAAGAAAGACTGATTTATCTGGGTCCTCAAACAAAGTGAGCAGTGGCCTGGCCTTAAGCAGAGATCGCTTCTGGAGCTGGGATGAGCTCTTTTGACCTCCAGGTTGGAGTGATCTCTTCCCTTTTGTGGGGACTTGGCCATCTGGAGTGGAGAGAGATGTGTGGAAGAACTGTGGTCTTTAAGTGATACCATTTCCTACCCTTCTCTCCCTGCAGGCAAAATTCTGAGAGGGTAGGGGTGGGAGGATCGAGCCCTTGATTCAGGGCAGCCTCCACAGCCTTAGGGAAGGTCTCAGGCTCTGTGGTAATACAGCCAGTGAGTAGTCCAGGAGTGGGCACCTGACAAGTTCTGGCCAATGAGATGTAAGGGGAAGATTTAGTAGAACTTCACTGTCCAATGGAAAGCCAGAGCTAATGAAGAGAGATTCTTTTAAAACCTCCCTTCTCCTGTACTTGGGACTTCGGTGAAGGGATCTAATGTCCTGAGTGGCTGCCTCCATGTAGCAACCCTGAGGCATCAGTCCAGAAGACAAAAAGTTCAGGAGGCTAGAGCAGAAAGAAGGAGCTTGGACCAGCATTCCTAACTCTGTGTCATATGAAGAAGGAATTCTCCTGTCTTTAAGTTGTTGTTGGAGAGGCTTTCTTGTACCAGCAGTTATTCCTGAGCCTCTAGTGCAGCTGAAAAGATGGGAAAGAGTAAAAGAAGCATGACAGTTGCTTCTCAAGGCAGGACAGAGAATGTGTGGGCTGCTGCTTCCATGGTGACTACTCATGGAGGGTTCCCAGGGTTGCTTTAATGTGTGTACAAACCACGAGGTTGTCTTTAAAAGAAGCAACAATTTTGAAAACAGTAACCCCAAGGCATGTGGAAATTTTCAGAGGTTTAACACGATCAGTAATGGAGTAATTCTTTGAGCAATTAGTAACTTAAAAATGCACAAGATGGTTTTCTTGGTGACTGTTAGATGAAAGTAGGTGAGATGATAGGCTTGCAGAGTAATTGAAAAAGAAACACAAGGATAGGATTGGAAAAAATCGAGGGGTCCAGATTAAACCATGCATTTAAGGCTGCCATGACTAAGCAGAAATATGCATAATAATTTTAAATTATTAATTATTTAATTATAAGGCAAGGGTTTCACTGT